TTTTAAATATGATTGAAAAAGTGTTCTAGACATTTGGATTTACTTGGATCCAAATTTTTTTCGTGTCCTGAAACCGGGTTAACCAGGTTAACCGGATTTGGGCTTTACTTATTTGTGCCGATAAATACAGCCTCCTAAAAGGGAAACAGCCAGTCAGTGAGTTCAAATCTTGATCGTTTCGGATCTGCCCGACATGAATTTCGAACACGTGCGAAAGAAAAAAAAACGAAAATACTCCAAAACTAGTGTTTAAATCGATCTTGGTGCACTAATTAAAAATGTCGGGAACGAAATTATACATATAATGAGCAACAATCTACGGCTATAGCTTCTAATATTAACGTCCTAACCTAAATTTGTGTTTTTACGCACTTTATTTACCAAATTAAATTGCCTTTGTTGGATTGTGTTACCACATAAAGTACACCTTTCTCCACCAATGATACCTCTGGATTCGTGAATAGTACTCGGTACTATTCTAAAAACGAATTCTTGAATAAGACCTTGGTATTGTAGGCAGCGGCCGAGGTAAATAAATCTACCGGATTTATGACGCGGTAAACGCGTGATCTTAAAAATTTTCTTAACATTAAAATTAGTTTAGTTTAAGATGAATTTTATTGAAAATATTTTGAAATATTGATTATTAATTACCTCAAAAATGCTCAAAAATGGTAAATAATACCTGTTTTAAATGAATTTTACCAATATTAACATTCAATGAAGTAATAAGAATTTTTTTTAAGATTATATTAAATTTCTATTTTACTTTTAGATTCAGATGAACTTTACCAATAATCAAGACTGATTTGTTATTCTTAATTACCAATAGGAATTTTTGACTTAATTAGAATTAACTTCTAATCCAAGTACTAACCATAGCGATAGATTTATTAAACATGTAAATAAGTATATTTTAATCTGATTAACTAATCATAGATACATACACTATTTTTTATTAACCATGTAAGTCTATAAAAATCAATGCATAAAAAACCAATTTTAGTGAATTTTAGTTAGTCTAACGTTATGTAAAAGTTAATTTATTTACTGTATATATATATGTATAGTATAAAATAAATATCCATTAGTTTTTTTTGTATTATTTATTGATTTTTACTTTAGTACAATTTGTACATACAATATTCAAAATAACTAATACTACAATAAAAATTTACTACTATTACACCCAAATACGTATATTATTATAAATTTTGTTTAATGGATAATTTTTTTGATTTTACCTTTACTCCGATATCTAAATGTTGATTATCAAATACAAAAGGATTGAAAGATGGATTAATTTAATCATACCAGTTATTTTTTAAACGACGGAATTGTTCATGTTCATTCAGCAGATTAGATTTCATAGTAATATTAAGATTCTCTACGTTGAATGGTTATTTTCTTCATATCCATTTGAATATGAAGCACCTCCAATAATACCAGCATGCATATTGCTGTTATGACTATAGTTTGTACTATTTGTGTTTGATCTTGATGGTGACGTATAAGCGGGTTGTGACATTTGTGAATAATCACCAGGGGATGATATGAAGCCCTCATTTAGGGCAGTATTAACCGCATCACTTAATGGGGGTGGAACCATTAGTGAATCTGTTTTCCTTCTAATACCACTTCTTGCACTAAGTGGTGCTACAGGTATGGATTCTGATTTTTCACTACCATACATTGTTGATGCTGATGATGGGCGTGTTGACGGTATATTGAAATTTTCGTCAGGAGACAATTGCACTGATTGTATTCGTTGATGTGAATTGTGACGGAGTTTATATAGTTCCCATTCAGCCCATCGTTTCATTACAATATGTGAACTATCAAACTCTCCTTCTCTTCTTGAATGATCTGCTCGACCATCTTCCCCTTTCACCACACGTGTTTGTCCCCAAGAAAAGTCATCAAAATGCCAAAATGCATATGATGGAAGAACAAAGTTCCATATGGGTAATGATAAAAGGTAAATCAACATCCAACCAACATAAATAACTTTACGTGTTGTTACCAAAATGAGAATAGCAGGTAGACCTAATACAGCTGCCAAAAGAAACAAAGGAACTATAGGTGGAGGATTTTGGAAGAACGATATTACTATTAAATACATTGTGAAAGAGATAGCAGCTGGAA